TATAGGCGACTTAAATGGTACGGTTATCAGCTGCCGTGAAGTATTTTTTAAAACCCTTTTAGAGAAACTAGGTCCGCAGCGGTATGTCTCTCGACACTTCGAACACATGTTCTATGCAACGGACATCGCATTGCATTCTCATCACAATTCTTTTGCGTATCTTTGGTTGTTGACATCCACTTTCTTGTAACAATCGTTCTTTTAAATGAAAAATGTTTCCTATATTTAGTTCATTTTGCTGTTGTTGTTGTTTGTTTGTTTGTTTATTTTTCTATTTCAATTTACGCTAAAAGTTTTACATAGTTGTTGTTGTGTCCCTAAAATCTTATTAAAACAAACAATAACAAGAACTTATCATACCTGGCAGACAGCTGACGTTAGTGTGTTTGAAAAAAGAAAGAAAAGCAAAAAAAAAAAAAAAAAAAATGTAAAAAAAAAACAGAAAATAATAAACAGCAACAACAACTAAATGTAAAATCAATGTCATGTTCAACGTGTTTGCATGCTTTCTTAAATTATGTTTTGTATAGAAATTATTTTTTTGCCAAGATGATGGGCGAACGAATGTGAAAATCAACTCATACACTAGATGAAGAAAATAGTTAAAGAGTAGAAAAAATAATTTAAATTCAGAAAAAAAAAATTTGATTTCTTAGAAATATCAAGTCTTCGCATAGTTTTTTTTAATAAAATTTTGATTTTTTATTTGTAATTAATTTTCTCTTGCACGGCAGATGTTATCCAGCATAGCGAATATATATATATATAAGCATATAAAGAGATAGCTAGCCGAGAAGACTATGTTAAATACAAGAAAAAAACTCAATCAAAAAAATATAAAAAATATATCACAAAAACTGCAAAACTGATATATGTGAGGTCCGAAAAGCAAAAGTGCACCGAAAACAAAAGTGTAAATTAATAAGTTTTCTCGATCTGAAAAATGCTTCATTCTGCCCATCACTGTAAGATAGGGGTACACCTATTTTGTTTGTAAGTAAAACCTAAAGGAAGCTTCACGAACTATATAAAATATATATACTCCCGATCAGAGGGAAATTCTGAATTTATTAAGCCGTGTCTGTCCGTCTGTCCGTTTGTTGTTGGCACTCGGTTAGTCGCAAAAATGAAGATATCGGCTTCAAATTTGGTAGAAACACTGAAAACTTTCGAAAGTGGGTTGGTATTGAATATGGGCCAAATTGCTCAAAGCAGATGTCCGCAGTGGAACGTAAACTGAAGGAAACTCTGTTTTTCTTAAAAAAAAATTTGTGGGTTTTTACTCGTTCGTCAGAACTGATAAAATTTAGTAGAGGACATATTCCCCATAGATGTCATATGTTTACTTCGACACCACACTTTTCAAAGATTATCTTTGCCGGTCGGTCGAAATAGTCCTCTGTCTACATATGTACCGGTCCGTTTGTTCGTTTGTGTTTTATTCTACCTCTACCTAGATAGGTTATCTTTAACCTATATTTAACCTATGTGTGCGAGATCAGATTTAAGAACTTTCAAGGCTCACTCCCACTACTATTGTCTATTTTTCCAAGGCTAAAATGAAACCTTCAAACGATCAAATTTCTCTGATTTAGAGACATCGGATTTTCTTTTTTCACTACCATCAGATGTTTTGCTATTTGCCAATGAACTCTTCTTGAGTTTAAAAGGTTAAGCTCTGCCATAAACGACTTCTTCAACTTTTCATATAAACTAAGGATTTCTTCTTGGACTCTTACCCAAACATGACAGGTAGAGAGAGAGTGTGGATATTTGACACGGATTTTTGCCCCGAGTTGACACAAATCTCAAGCATTTCAAGTAGAAATAACTAACCATTTTTCGCTTGTGCATGAAACGAAGCCATCATGTGCAGCTTTAAATGTGCCCTCACCTAACGAGATAGAATCATCCAGTGACCATTCCCCTGAAGAAATTTTCATCTAATGCCAAGCCACGGAGATACATGCAGACAGCGCTAATAACACAACTACCCCATCAGGTGCAAGCAATTCTGAGAACTATTGTTCAACTAAGCATATCTCAGAAGTCTTAGCTTTATCGCGATTAAAGAGAGGTGTTTCTTGATCCGTTGCTTCACTAAAAGCGATGCCATATTTCAAACGAAAAGTCGGGTTAACCAAAAATAGATAACGTGGAAAAAGAGGACTACTTTCGAAGAAATAGAATAAATTCTCGTCAGTCTCTTTAATGAAATTACGAACGTGCCCTCACGCAGGAGGAGAAACGGCGACTGGATATTAAACATTTTAAAATTAGTCAAAAACACAATTAGTTTCGATTTTTTTCATCTTTTTAAGGTAATGCGGTTATTGCATAAAATCCTCGACGTTACCCCAAATTTTATCCCTACGTATATAAAAACAAACGTATGCTCCCATTACATGCAATGCGTGTACAAGTGTGTATGCAAACGGGGGTCATTGTATTATACTGAATCGATGCTGTATGCGTCATTATTTGCCTTTTTTTTTTTGTTAAAGCTCTCCCTTAATTAATTGAAAATGTAATTTACTTTGTTTTTGCATTTAATTATTGATACAAACGTGCGACCTACTATGCGAAAACAAAGCAATTAATGGAAAGGATCTCTATAAAATGTCAATTATTATAATTTTGTTTTTTTTTATTTGTTTTCATTACAGCATAGTCCCCTATCGGCATCTAAGACTTTGTTAGTTAACACAAGACCTTTAACGCCAGCATCCTCGCCTTCAGTCTTGCTTACACCGTCGACACCTACTATGGCTGCCACTTGCTGTGTAAGTCAGCCGCAATGCGATACAACTAGTTTAACAGCTGCTGGCGCAGTTATTGCAACTGAAGTCACATCAGCATTTAACAAGTATCGCAATGCTCCAGATGCTATACAAGTTACTACTGACAATCATCTCCATAATAAGCAAATAACTGACATAAAAGATTTGCATAATGATTGCGCTGCTGGTAGCAATAAATCGTTGAATAGATTTCTAGGTAAGTTATTATTTCCTGTCTAAGTATTTATATTTAGAATGCAGTTCTCTTTTTGCATTTCATTCAAAAAGTGAGTTTTGACATTTGAAATTTTCGGTCCCCCCCAAGTACCTAGAATAAGGCATGACATGCTTATGAAAGCAATATTTTTTTTGTCAATTTTAAAACAAATAAAAACATTAGGCCACGGCCAACCATTAAACACCTTATACGACTTCGCTTACTAAAGTTATCACTTTGCCAAATAAGCCCACATATGGAAAGCGATCGAAAAAGAAATCCGATCTGGATAAATTTCAATAGCGTTCGCCTTTAAGGTAAAACACGTTCATGTTATCAAATTTCATCAAAATTTCTGAAAGTCCTACCTGTAGACTGAATACAAATGTAGAGACAAACTGAGGGACATGCAGGTTTAATAAATAATGATAGGCTGATCTCTGGACTTTGGATGTTTATCGACTTATAGGTTGAACACAAATGAACAAGACAGACGGACAGACGGACGGGAAAGCTTAATCAATAATAGGCTGGTCAATCGCGACTTCTTTCTTCTACTCGTTGAATATATCCGATCTATATATTCAATGTAAGTGTAGAAACCGCACACTTTTCTTAGAGTACAAAATTTTTATACCCATTACCGAAGCATGAGGGTATATTCTTTCTGTCAAAATGTTTTCAACGCCAATAACGAAGCATTAGAGACCTCAAAAGGTATATATATTCTTGATCAACATCAAATTCTAAATCAATTTAAGCATATTCGTCTGTCAGTTTGTGTAATGTCGGGAAACAGTCGCAAAAGCGAAGCTATCGACTTCAAATTTGGTAGAAACATTTGAAAATCTAGCACGCAGGTCAATATTGAAAAATCAATTGAAGGACACGCCCACAGCACCACGTAAACCGAGAACACCCCGGAAAAAATTATTGGTTTTTTGTTCGTTAATCATAAACTATAGCAGGTAAATGTACAAAATTTTGAACGTATATTCTGTGGGCGATTCTGTAGTAGTGTCCAGTATTATCAATCAGTGCATCAAAATTTAATTTTTTTTTTTTTTGATACCTATATAAGGCGCAGAAACAGGCTTCGAAAAGCATATAAATTCTTGGCCAGTTTCAAATTTGGACTGCACATAAGCATGTCCGCCTATCTGTCTGCCCAATTATGTAGTATCTGTGGTAAGCACTGTAACACTGTGACGAAAATGAAGGTGCCGAAAGAATTGGAAGTGGCCTACAATGCCTACAAGCCTATTCGACAAAAATTTTTACTCCGAAAATGGAAAAAATCAGTCTCGCCCTCACCCCGTATAAATAGAACAAGAGAATTTACTCCTTTTCCGTTTTTGTTTTTATGGGATAACGGTAATGGGGTGTAAAAGATTTGATCGCGATCGAATATAATTTTCTTCATTTATTTTTTTTTACTTCGTTGTTAGAATTGCGCTAAAGCTTTATTTCTCTGAGTTCATAGTATTTCGCAATTCCACGTTAGAATAAAGGACAAGAATATATTGCGTAGGTCCCTCAGCATCTTTTGTATTTTCCAAGCTTTTAATAATCATTCTATTCCAAATTTTTCCAACCAAACAGGTTTAGCTGGATTTGATGAAACTAAAATACCGAATTTACCAACTGATACCGATATAGGAGATATAGAAGGTTAGTCAAATATGAAAAGTATATTCCATTGCAATATGTATGTAATAAAAAGTATTTTCATTTTTTTATTATTTAACACAGGTCAATTGAAAATTATTTATGATGTACGAGAAATTACCAAAGGTACATAAACACATAACTCTCAAATTAATTGTATTATAATACAATTAACTTAAATCATTTTTCATCCTTTTAGATGGAAAACTGCAACCTAATGTACTTTTACCGAATGAAACGGATGAAACTATATCTTCGGATAATGAATTATTCACCGATTGTCATGAAGAGTTGAGCTCAATTGAACGACGTGATTGTTTATCATCGCCTTACATCGAGCATTCAGTTAATAAGACACTTGAGTTGGAATCATATTACAGTACTGTTAACGATACAATAAGTGCTTCCGATCGGACTTTGGATGAATTGCCTGAAATACCTATGGATGAAGGGCAAAAACAACAATGCAACGAATTGGACGAAGTCGAACCGATGGAAGTCGATATGAATGCGACTATAGAAATGTTGGAAGCTACGTCGTCAACAAATATATTATATGTTGAGAAAGTTCTAGAACAAGCAGAACGTCACATATTGCAACATATGGAAGAAGAAGAATCTCTAAGAACTAAAGAAAAGAATGCTTTAGCCGAAAAGGCCATTAAACAAGCCGAAAAAGAACTACAATTAAACAAACATATCGACTTGCCAACGAAAGGCGAGAAAAGTTCGACAAAGGCCAGCGGATTTATTGGAGAATTTTCAACGGCCTCGTCGTCGCCCGATAAAACTGAATTGAATTTGAATTTAGTCGGCCAGTCTAGTGACGAGTCTATCGGGAAACATGAGAAATCGTTATCAGATTCTCCAACATTTTCAAAAGAAATAAATATTACAATAAATTCTTATTCGCACGCTCCTAAATCTGCCGAAGAGAACAAGAATCATCTGAATAATACGTTAGTTGAACAAGATCTACCATCTTTTAATAATATAAACTTTGACTTGCCAATAAGACAATCTGAAAAGACACTCAATTTCGATATAACATCGATAGAGGAGGAGAGTTCTGTAAGTCCGCTAAACGATCTGGCAATTCCTTTGAATTGCAACTATGTTGAACAAGATCTACCATCGCTTAATAATTTAAACTTTGCTCTGCCACTGGGCTATCGTGAACAGAGGAGAATCTTCGATGTGGCATCGACCGAGAATGCTGTAAATCTGGTCAATAGCACGCTTGTTGAACAGGATCTACCATCTTTTAATAATCTTAATTTTATTTTGCCTCCCGAACATGTTGAGAAGAAGAGAACTTTCAATGTAGAAGCGACTGGAAGTTTAGCAGAAATCGACACAAAAGAAAATCTTGTAACTGATAAGGAGAAGCGTCGCACATATAATATGCAAGAGGATAGAGATAATATAAATATAGCTATGACCTTGAGTAATGCTGGATCTGAAAAGAGAAGAACTTTCAATATACCTTCAATCGAAAGTGATGCAATAATCGACACGAAAGAAAACATTGTAACTGATCTTGAGAAACGTCGCACATTTAACATCCAAGAGGAGATAGGTGATATAAATACAACTATGACTTTAACTAAGACTGGATTTGAAAATAGAAGGACTTTTAATATACCATCGGTTGAAGATGGGGCAAACATGGACACACAACATACGATTACAAATGATAGCGAGAAACGTCGTACATTTAATATACATGATAACAGGCATGCTATGACCGCAGACGTGAAATTGGATAATATTGATACGGAAAAAAGGGGAACTTGCACTGGAACATTGGCTGAAGAGGTTAAAAAAGTCAGTACGCAAGATATGATTATGACGACCAAGAATGAGGAAAGTCGCACATTCAATATTCAAGAGGAGACAGCTCTTGCAACCATCGGCGGCATTACTGAAAATGGAGACAGTTTATTTAACGTTCCAGCAGAAGGGGGGATACAAGCTGGTGGATCTATAAATGCTGAGTCAGTGCAAAACAAAATTGAAGAACATAATGAAATGATGGAAGAAAATGAAAAGTCGCAAGAATCCGAACCAAAAGACGTGCAACGCTCCGAGAAGACGGTAGTGAGAAAAGAAATGATTTCCAATTACGAAGCCATGGATGTAGACGAGACTACGTTTCCCGTATTAAAGTCTGTCAAAAATCCTGTCAAAGTAGACATTGCAAATATTAACTGGGCAGTGCAAGCGAATCATTTTTCTTCAACATCAACCAAACAAGACAGTCCGGAGAATCAACAGTCTACTTTAGAAAACGAAAATTTAGAAGCACCTCTTAAATCGTTAACAAATGATAAGCAAAAAACTAATGAAATTCATGAGAATATAAGGACAGATACCGTTACAACATCAATTGAAACTTCGGCATCATCCCAAATAAGTCAAGATAAACAAGCCAGTTCTGTGCTTACGTCTAAAGGCATACAAAAACGACCTTCAATTCATGATTATAAGAATCAAGGTGATGTTCTTTCAGCTAAAGAGCAATCGAGTATACGCGTTAGGGATGAAAAAGAACTGATGACGGAGAAATCGAGTTCTCCTTTGGAGGAAATGTTTACGGCCCCGTCAACAACATCTATAACATTAAGCATTAGCGATCACTCAGGATTTGATACGAATTCGCCGAACGCTCATTCATCGAACAACACCAGCAACAACGCTGAACAACCCGAGTTCGATGAGAATGAATTTTCTGGCAATAATAACAGTAAGTAGCAAATTTATATTTTTTTAATAATAAACAATGGTAATAACAAAAACAAATATAAGAGATGTCTTGGTCCCATACCTTTGAATCGTTCTTATAGAAGATCATGTTAAACGTTTTTTTTTTTTCGTCTTTTTGAAAATTTATGTAAACGTCGTCTAGCGGGTCTGCGTTGTCGCCATCTTTACTAAAAATCGATTATTTCGTGTTTCTTCTTTATGATAACAGAATTCTGTTTAGAGGGAGGCGTGAATAACTTTTGTCTTCCCTTATTTGAATTTGTAGATTAGATTTCAAAATTGTTTCTATATAACCACCAGTCCCAGTGATTATTTTAGATATACCCCGAGTCTTTATAAAGTTCCTTAAGAATGCCGACGTTGCTGAAGAGGTTTAGGCATGCAAACAATTGGAACGTGCGAAACCGTTTCATATATAGTATGTGAAAAAAAAAGTTGAAATATTTCCCTAAATTTTCAAAGAAATATTTTTTTCGGCATTTTCGACTAAAACTTGTGTGAAGGATGAGCGGTTTATCGAAATTGGTTGAAGGATACGCCTACAGCGCCGTCTCGCCTATGCAAAAAAATGAGGACCACTTTTTGCTTTCTTTGTTGTTTGCTTCTTACTCATGTAAAGTACAACATATAACACTACATAAATTTCCTTTTTATTCTGAAAATAGAAAAAGTCACTTTGCGTCCATCCCCCTTATTATATTTGTAGTCCTTTTTTATAATAACTGTGATGAATATAAGACCGAATGTAATATAATTTTCTTATTTGTGTTCGCTCTCGAAAACTCAAAAACCGTGTACAAGTGCACAAAGGGAACTTATTAAATAGTTGAGTAGATCGTAGGTGCCTTCAGAAAAGACTGTGCAAAGGTTTCGATTCGTAGTCATCAACGACGAAATAGTATATTTTTTTGAAAGTTTACTTAACAAGATCGGAAATAACCTAAATTTTGCAAAGTCCACTAGTTCGCAACAATAAGGGCAGCTTCAAATTGTAATTTGATTTGAGGTTCTCTGCAAATTTTTACATTTCTACTAACAAAACTACCTACATACTCAGACGTTACTTGAAAGATCAAATATAACCTCAAATTTTCAAGCTCCACTAGTTCATATCAACAGGAGAAGTTTGAAATTGAAACTTGGTTTGACTTTTCTATGAATATTTACATTTCTACTAAAAGAACTGTTTATTCGAACATTACTCAACAAGATAAGATATAACCTCAATTTTGCAAACTCCATCAGTTCACAACAATAAGAAAAGCTTCAAATTGTAAGTCAGTTTGACTTTCTTTGCGAATTTTTACATCTCTTCTAAAAAAACGACTTATAGATTCGAATATTACTCAACAAGATCAGATATAATCTCAATTTTGCAAACTCCATCAGTTCACAACAATAAGAAAAGCTTCAAATTGTAAGTCAGTTTGACTTTCTTTGCGAATTTTTACATCTCTTCTACGACTTATAGATTCGAATATTACTCAACAAGATCAGATATAACCTCAATTTTGCAAGTTCCACTAGTGTATAACAACAAAAAAAAGCTTGAAATTGTAAGTTAGTTTGGCTTTCTCTGCGAATTCTTGTAATTCAATTCAAAACACTACATGTTTGACTCAGTGGTCTCCGTTTTTTTTTTTTTTTTGTTTGATATTTTAGTTTTCCGGTAAAAATAAAATAAATCCATAACTTAATTATATAAGAGCGAACCGTGAAGAGTTAAGCTCAACCAACTCCTACATTTCATTTTCCTAATACCCTTTCACATATTTATATATTTGTTTTTAATATATGTATATATATATATATATATTGTTTATATATTGTTTATATATATATATATATATGTTAATCATTCCTTTTGCTAGGAATGTGTTGTGTATATAAAAGCAATTTTTAACTTTTTGTACCTTTTATTATGTACGTATGACGAATAAGAGAAAAATAGCCTCCAAGTACTGCAATGCAGTTGTAATCTGAAAGCACAAACACAGTTACGCTTTGATGTTCCCATATGCATATATGTTATATTACACAGGTACATTTATATATATATATATATATATATATATGGACGTATGTAGGTAAAGGCATTATCAGAGAACAACACAAACGGCAACAAACAGAAGTAATTTATACGCTTATTTCCCTCCCCTTAATGTGTTTAAAACATCATTTGACTATAAAACAAGAAAGACCTTAGATCGACTATTTACAATACATCCGGCATTCACACTTGCACACTATAAACACTGTAAAGGTAACATGCTATACAAGTGTAAGTAAGTGTATCATTTGCATTGCATTGGCCTAGGCGTGTAGCAATGTATAGCCTAGGGTCACTTGTATACATAATAATGTGATCAAAAATGAAGACCAATAATTCAAGTGAAATTGCGCAGGTATCGAATATTAAATATTTCTCTTCTAAATTTGCATCGCTGGGACAGACATCTGTGTCAAATTTCATAATTATAAACATCATTAGTGTGTTTAACTGCACTTGGTTTCGTAGGACGCAAAAAGTGATTTTGAGGAAGTGAAAGTAAACTTTGTTGGCGAAATGAAACCGCTTCTGTTGCCGAGAGACTTTAACTTTGTCGCGAAGAAGTATTTACTTACTAGTGATATAAACAGTTCAAAGAAGGCCGAGAGATCGCTTCGGGCATATAGTTCTGACTCGAATGAAGGGATACAAGCTGAACATGTTAAGAGATATCTTGTGCCTGAAATGCGTCAAATCTCAATTGATTCCACAAATCGTTCCACAATTATCGTCGTTACTTAATTTAGCGCCATGTGACTGCTAGCTACTCGCTAAACTCGATATTGGGGATATTGTTTTGATTCGATTGAAAGGATATAAGCCGGATCGAAGAAAGTTTTGAAGGTCATTCCGGAAGTCGAGTAGAACGACCAACTGTCTCGAGAATTTGGAAAAAACGTTGGTATTATATCTGAGGCGGATTATCTTGGAGGCTACAAAATGGATTTGGGGTAACAAATAGGCTTAAAAACGATTAAATTGAATTTCTCTTAATTTTTTATCACTGCAACATATACATATATATATATATATATATATACAGTAATAGAAGTAATAGTAATATGTAATAGTTCCCGGTATCCTAAGTAGTAAGTAAGACTGTTTTCAATTTTTTTTTTCTTTTTTTTCTCAATTTTAATGCGAAAACTCGGATCACGTAATCGTCATATTAATTAAAATTGAAAAAGCTCTTATAAGGTTACAATCTCGTTCTTAAACTAGAAATAGCTTTATCATTCTATCATTCACCATCTATCATTATAACAATACTAATGACAATCGATGTTGATCTTCGGGTAATATTTATATGCCTTAGTCGAGTTTCCCGCGTCTCATCGAATTTAATATGTCCGCTGGTTGTGGGTGTCAAAAAAAAAAAAGAAAAAAAGAAGTAGAAGAAATCAAAACAAACATCACTATGAATAAAAACACGTTCTATGCGAATAACAAAGTTGAAATGCAACGAAACAAGCGCATATTTTTAATCGGATTTTTAGGGCTTCTCATATTGCATTTTGCATTTTGTTGTTAGCAGCTATTCAATAGATGACGGCGGCGGTGGTCGTAGCTTTGATTATGATTTACATAAATATATATAT